CACCCTGACAAATTTGCAAGGAATCAGAGCATAGAGGTCTGGGTGAGCTCTGACCCCCCCAAAAAAGTTCAACATGTTTCCATCACCTATGAATGTAAGGCACTGCATGTGATGGTGGAGGAGGGACAGATGTCTCCATTCCTCCTCCTCCAGCCTACTTGGTTGTCCATACTACTAGCCACAGAGGAAGGAATACAAAGCTGGATCATGGGGGAAGGAGGGATCACTTTAACTCTCCAATGCCAATCTGCACGCTAGAAGGCAACGTTTTTCTTAGCCTGGCCTACCAGCAGGGAACCACAGATAGCAAACGTTGTTGTTTTTCTTGTTGTTCCTAAACTTTTGTAAGCTTATTTGCAATAGCTGGGTGAGTTGCATACACAAGCAACGCTGGTTCTGATTCACCACCTTCAACTTTCTGGGAGGAAACCACACTACCCTTTGTCCTTGGCTCCAAAAACCCAGTAATGGGCCAAAAGGTTGCTGTCCCAGGATTATTGCCTGCATCAACAGGTCCAAAGATTTCTTCTGTTTTTCTTGAACCTACCCATGCATTTTGCTTTTATCATAATATTAGAAATGTAATCTGATTTAGATCTAAAAAAGAATGGCAATTTGTAGATTGGTTCTCCTGTCAGCACAGGAAACAGACTGCAAGAAAACCAAGAGGGCAGCTGTGATCTGGGTACGCAAAGATCTGAAGACCCACTCTCTATGTCCAATTGGCAGGCATGCCCAATCTCAGCAACGGCAAGGCCTAGAATCCATGGCTCTGTGGTGTGATGAGCCTCCAAGGCTCTAATATGGACACTGGGCACTGACAAATCCCCAAGAATGGCTTTGACTCCTAACACTCAAAGTGTCCATTGGCTCTCCTCAACAGCAAGGATTCTAAAGACTTCCTGTTTAGGCTAGAACTTGTCTGGGTAATAAAAGCCTTTCCTGGATGACTTGGCCTGGCATTCTGGCTCCACATCTACTCCAAGGCACAACTCTGATATTCCAGCTCAAAATGCACGTAACATTATATAGAGAAGACATGCATGCAGTTTTCAACAAATTCCAATTAAACCAAACTTGCAATTAAGTCTACAAAGTTTACCAGCCCAGGAAAATAAGGGAGGAAGCATGTATTATATAGTTCCCACTAGGAGCATTTCAACGGTTTCAATGAGGGGGGCATAAGACTTTTTACAGGTTTTTTCCTACGTGTCTAGAGCCAGCCTTTACTTTCCACAAGCAACCATGCATGGAGATATTTATTAGCTTGATTTTGCTATAAATTGGGCCCTTCTTATGTATATTGTAAAGTGAAAAGTGCTGAAAATGTACCTGTCATACTTGGCAACTTTACTTTCCAATTATGGACACACACCCGAGTACACCAAAAAGCCATGTAAGAAATGGAGGACAGTTAAGATTCCAGGCAAATTCTGACCTTGCAGAGCAAACTGATAGTGTTCAATAAGAGGAAGAAAGAACAGGGTTGCAACCTTTAACTGATTAATTGGTTAGAATTAATTAATAAAACAAAACAGACTAAAAAGGCATCCCTAATAAAATTGGGTGACAACTTTTAAAAAAGTTTATTAATTTAACTAATACTAATTAAAGCTGTGAATGGCAGGCACTATCTTAGAAGAGGCATTCCTCATTCCAGCTTACTGAGGGAATGCCTCTCTTAGGATGGCACGTACTATGGAATATATATGCACAATCTCAAAACATTATTTCCTTCCTACTTGAGACAGCTTAATGCAAATTTATGCAGATTTAAATTGATTAAAATAATTTGATTAAATGACGATTTTTTAAAATCAGATGGCAGCCCTAGTTACTGAGCTAGCGGCTTCAGTGAAACTCCATATGGCCCCTCTATATATTCTTGTGAGTCCCCATAATCATATTCCCCTCCAGTGCAGCAGCCAAAAAGAGAGAAAGAAAATCCCAGACAGAGCTAGGGAAAGGAAAGAGCATGTATTTATCAAAAAGCTGCTGACATACCAAGATGGCCTGGAAGACAATGGCTTATTAAAAGGAAGTTGTAAGCTCTAGGCACATACAAGTAAAGACAACAAGCCAGGATGCAAACATTTCACAAAGAACAAAAGTTGCAGCAGTCAGTACCACAATATACTATCCTGACCTGGTGGTGGAAGGAGGAGCTGGAGGCTGTGGCATGAGATCCTTTGGCATGAAAGGAGAGAACAGGAGGCTAATTTCCCCCCACCAAAGCACAGGCACCCACACAGGGGGAGATGCAAGAGACCACTTTCCCTTTAATGACTAAGTGCCCTCCTCCATCCACAGAGCTTGAAGGACACCAGAGGTTGGAGGAAGGGAGTTGGTGGGGGACAGGAAGCAGAAAATCCACCAGCTGTACAAGTGCATCAGCAGCCATGGGACCAAAGATGCCCTGGCTGGAAAGAAGGGGTGTGCATTGATATTATTATCAGAGCTTATTGGAAGCAAGGATTCATTCCCCACACCCCACCTGAAGTTTTCCTCTGAGCTGCATGGAAGAGAGGGGAAGGTGGAGCATGTGAGCCCAATGCAGCCGTTCCATGGAGCACCAAAGCTTGCTCTAGTGCTATGTGTGAACATAGTTGGTGCCTCTGTGCATGTGCGGAAAACCTTTCAAAAACCAGTGCCAGAGCCAGCCTCTGTGCACCTGAGATTGATGGGAAAGACTTCCAGCAAGCATCAAGCCCAGAACATTCTCACAGTCCTAACACTGCATCTACCCCTAATATCTGAAAAATAATAATACTGAATTGGGAATGCCAAGAGGCGCCACTGGACAATGAGGGACAGAATTGCATGTTGGGATGTAGCCATGATCAAAAGCCTTCTTAGATTTTCAGTACTGCCATACACAAGCCGTGCCTCCCCAAAGAACCCCAGGCAGAGCATGGAACAAATTAAACACCAGTCCAATTTCAAATGTTCAAACCCTTCCCCAAACTGCAAGCCTAACTATCTTTCAGTGACTTAATTCACTCTATTTTAAATAAAATCACCCTAAAACCGAGCAGCATTAAAATTCAATTATTCCTCTCCTGGCTGCAATCCACGGCTCTACAACTGAAGTCCAAGCATATATTTTGCTGTAGAAAATTGTCATTTACAAATAAGAACTGGCTGAAGCAGCCTTGTAACTAAAGCATTTGCAGGCCTGTCAGGGGGCCTTTTGCACGCCAGTGTTTGATTTAATATGGGGCCAAGCATTTAGTGTCACAGAGGAGGGGGGGAGAACAGGGGAAAGGAGGGGGAGAGGCAATTATTCTGAGGGTGTGTGTGTGTGTGTGTGTGTGTACACATATGCAATTATCAATTTGATATGCAACATCTCAAAAACGAAAGAAGGGGAGGAAGGAAAGTGACTTCCTTTCGGAAACTGAGAAGGAAGGGGGGAAGCTGGGGGGACATCACTTTGCCTCAGTGACTTTGGTCAAAGAAATATTGGTAATGACAAGGAAACACACAGCAACAACATTTTAATGCTTGGAGATGCATTGCGAGGCAGGAAATTGTTTCAGAAAGCAGCTCTTTGGCGCAAAAAAACGGAAAGCACAAAATTAAGTCTCACTGTGGCAACCTATGTTTTCCTGAAAAGACAGTTCAATTGCTTCGTTATACATGTTCCCCTCCATGAGGGAATAAAAGTCATTTGTTGCCTTAGCAATTCTTTCCACCATGACAGGCTTAAGCAGATGTCAGCGCCCTCCTCCTCTTCCCTGAGTGCAAACCACGGCCACCACGCAACACCATGCCACCGAGTGATGCCACAAACCCAAGCCCTCCCTGAACATTTCAACCTTTTGACTTTGTTCTGAATCGGAGATAAGGAGGTGTCACCAACTGAGGGAAGGGCGGGAGGAAGGCAAGCTAGAGTGTGGTGATTTTTTTCATTTATAAATAAAGTCAACACATGAAACAGCTTCCTTGCATTCCAGCCTTAATCATTCAGATACATACTTATTCGGGTGGCTGCTTATGCAAAATAAAAATAAAAATAAGAGAGTCAGATTTTGCACAAAATTTGCATATGCTTAGAAGTATAGATGCACGTTTAGAATTAATCACTGTAATTTAAACAACACATTTTCATCATAGCAGGAAATAGTCATGTAATGAGGGGCTAACTGTTGACAGGGAACTCCAAGGCCACTGCTCCCTTATTAAGGTCCCTTGTATTTAAACCGGACTTGGGCTGGCCAGCCCTTCAAAGAGGAGACACCTCCAAATCAAAGAGAGTCACCTGTAAAAGAGGACACCCACACACCCTGGAAGTCCTCTAAAAACAGGCAGCTTGTGCCAGTGACATAGCATGGGGGGTGGGGTGGCCACAGGGGCAGTTTCCCCGGGTGAAAAAATGGTTTGGGGCACAATACAGCTGTGCACTTCCATCGCTGGGCTCCATCGAAAATGGCTTCTCCATGCGAACCAGGAAGTGAACTCTCCAGGCAACGGAACAACTCTTCTTATCTCCATGGCTGCGATCTCTCGGGTGAATGTCCATGCACCATTAACATATCACGTGAAGCAGCTGGCATTGCCCTGCTGCACAGAAGGCCCAACTCTGGCCACAAGAGGCAAATCATTGGCTGTTGGCAACGATCTAACCCCAGAGGTCGTGAACCTGTGGCCCTGGACTACAACTCCCATCATCCCCTGGCCACAATGGGAGATGGGAGTCCAAAGATTGCATGGAGGGCTGCAAGTTCCCGCATCCCTGGGGTGTGTGTGTACCAACTGGCAGCTGGTCTCCCAAGCGTTTGGCACAAGTCTTTCCCAACCCTACCTGGAAATACCAGAGGGTGAACCCGAGACCTTCTGCATGAAGAGCACACGCTCTACCATTGAACTACGGCCTGATCTCCACTGCTAACTCACATTACTCCTCCCAGCCATCAGCTACCGAGCTCAACTCTCTCATCTCGCTTGGCAGTTGGGAACTTACTGACAGAATTTCGGAGTCAGTGTTCCAGGTTGCCCCTAGCAACCCGCTATGCGGAGAACAATGGGATCAGACAGCTGGAATAGGCCCGGAGTCCAAGCCCCTCATCTGAGGACAGGATCCTGCTCATGTTAACATTGCAGCCGCGGCACAAATCAATCAAACCATATACATTACAACCTCCTCGAGAGTGAGAAGCGAGGCCGAGCCTAGAGCGGCAGTCCCATTGACAGAAGACAATCTGGTTCCAGGCCTGAACGCCTTCAAAATGAAGGGGGAACTCTCAAACAATCAATAACCCATTCCCTCCCCCCAAAATGTAGAAAAGAAGCATGTACGGGGGGGAGCTAGCTTTCTGTGTGCAGGGTCAGAATAGATCAGTGCCCTTATTTAGCGGCATTGAGATCTCTTCTCTGCTGTTCTCTGACCTCAGTGCCTCAGTCACTGCGATGTTCATCAGCTATAGTCACTTCAAAGTGAGAATCATGGCTTGGGCTTCAAGGAGACAAAAAAGGCACTGGTGACCACTGACAGTTTGAAATATTAGGTTAAAAAGATCTTTAAATAATCCTGTGAAATAATATCATATTGATACTGCCTTCCTGTCGCAAAAGACAAAGAGGTTTACACGGTTTATTCAGAACCACTGAAGTAAAAACGTCATGTGCTGGTTGAAGATGATGAGTACTGCTACCTCAAAAATTCTTTGAAATTTCTATTTAGTCAAATATGAGCAAAGAAAATTTGCTGCCTTCTCACTACATTGAGCTGACCAAAACAAATAATCCACCTTTAATTTCAGCAGCCAGGGGAGGAGATTGGAAAAAGAAGTTTCTCTCATTCACTACACTTCGCAAAACTGAACCATCCTTACCTTGATTCTGGCTTAGAATCAGTTTCAAACTAGACTCTGATTTTGCCTGCCAAAAAGGGGGAGGGGGAGTTCAGGACATTCCCGATACTGAAGGACTCAAGGCTGAAAAAAGTTGGGGAGCTTCTGGTATCTCAATTCTACTATCCATGACATTTGCTGAGCTTTCACTTCCCCAGCACTTCAGTTTGACAGGGCTTGTCTGGAGAACTAAAAAGGTGTAAAGTGTTTTAATCTGCATCACAAATTGCCAAAATTAATTTAAACTTCAGAGGAAACTAATTAGACCTAAAGCTAATTCCGCACCCCCCATGCCTTCCCTTCATGCAGATCATATATTTGAGAGAGAGAAAAATATTAGTGAGAAGTATTCTGCCTCATACATTAAATCTCAACTTTTGACATTTCATCCTTCATGGGTGCTTGTGTCTTCTAAATATATTTATAAGTGATGAGAGAGGAAGGGAGCAGAAATCACCATCTGTATATGCAGAGTTACATTACATACTCCACTGTGCTCTGCATTCAGAATACAACGTTACATCTGATTAAAACACAACTTCCCTAATGGGAAAAGTGAACTTGTAAATGAATTACCGGTGCTCTCATAGCAGAATACAAAAGACAGTGAGGAACAAGGATTTCCAACGTCTGGAATTTCTTCAACTTGCTGGCAATATTCATAATACTTCTTAACAGTAGCTATTATTTTTAAAAAATAAAAATAAAATCCACTTGTACCCATTTGCTAAATCTGTATCCCTTCCTCCCAAAGGACCCCATTCAGGCAACTATCACAATGTTAAAACAATACTATTTGAAATAAAAATGAAAAAAACATGTTTTAAACATTTAAAAGTAATTAAAAACAATCTAAAAACATTTAGAACATTTTTTAAAAATCTAAATGTGCTAGTTGAAAATAATGGCAACTGGCTGCTGCTTGCTTGCAACCAAACATTCTTCTGTCCAGTTCTCCACATATTCAGTAGACCCCAATGAGATCAAAATGCTCTGTGCCGTGGAAAACAAAAATGACTGCTACCTTTAAAACGGTTTTATTTTTATTTAGTGTCAGTCTGCCGAAACATGTACAGAGGCTAGGAACTGACTCTAAGCAAGGTGCTCTTGAAGCTTCTCAGCCTGCACACTAAGGCAAGAAGTCAAAGCTTGGTGATCAATATTGTATTCAAATGTACACACTGCTGTCTCAGAAGACAACAAATGTTTTTGGCCTCTAGGAAACATGCATCTCCCCCCAACAACTGTCGCAGTCCCCTTAAACGTATTAGATGGAAGAAGCAGAGTTTGCTTGCAAAGGGGCTTTCAAACAGCCCTACGCTATGCTTTGAAGTTCCAACAATTGGGACTTCAAAGCACAGCAGCATCCGATGATAGCATGTGAATGACTAGTGTGTGGCCCCACCCACCTGTAAAATTTGACCCACCAGAGGGGGGGCAGGAATATAAGAATCTGGCCCACCAGCCAGAAAAGGTCTCGCACCCCTGCTGTTCCAGCTCTTCAACTCCTTGTGCCCAAGTGCATCCCCTCCTGTGTACCTGCTTTGTACCATGTTCTGCTCTAGGCAGCTGATGGGATTCTCTACTGGTGGCCCTGTGTGTTTATTTTCCTAAACTCCCGTTTCCATCATCTTCGCCCATGTCACTCTCTCTGCCTAGAGCAAGACTCCTGCCATCTGTCAAGCTGCTCCTTCCAAATTGGCCCCGCTTTCCTAAGTCATGTTTGTCTTGCCCACTTTGCCACTGCCAACCATTCATCATCACAGCTCCTTGAGGAGAAGGGTGCTGGCAATAGCTCAGTGGCAGAACTTATGCTTTGCATGTAGAAAGTCCCAAGTTTGACCCCCAGTTGCTCCAGGCGGGGTTGAAAAGGATCCTGCATGAAACCCTGAATTCCATTGCTATACAGTGCCATGGAGCCTTGAAGACACGAGAGTGTAAAATGCACCACTGACACAATTTCTAGACATCACCTTTTTGTAACAGTAATGCTTATCTGCTCTGTAAGTTTCTGTTTGTTCTAGGGTTATGCATACATTTTATGGATGAATTTTAGTTGCAACTTGTGAATTTTTATGTAGGTATTTTGTTGTATTCTGCTCTGGTTCAAGGACTAATGCAAAGATATATATTCTGCAGCCCTAGAGAGCTGCTGCTAGTCAGTGTAGACAGTACTGAGATAGATGGATCAATAATCTGCCTTCCTATGTTCCTCTCCCCAGCCGAGTGGACTAAGAGATGCCAAAGACCCCTGCTTAAGAAGAGCTGCCAGTCAGAGTAGACAATACTGAGTTGATGGATAAATATAGTGTGACGTGATATAAGATCAGCATAAGTTCCCATGTTCATCCTGCTCCTAATGCATTCCTCTCTTCCACTTCCACATCCATAGCCCTCCCCACCAGAAGCACTGGCGACCTGCACAGTGTGGCAACCGGACACGTTAAAACACCCAGCTGCTTCTAATCATCAGAATGGCAAGGACCAGCTTCCTAATGGCCTTGTCCAATCAACGCCGCTGCTAAGAATCTAGACCTTGTTCTACTAAGACTGGAAAACTTCAGAAGGAAAGGGGGAGGGGGGAGAGAGAAATAACAACGTTTAAAGCAATTTTCCTCCCTGCCAAACTACTCCAGATGATTTCTCAAAGAAGAAGAAAAAACCTGAACAAATGGAAAAACTTTAACCCTTAGCCTTGATTAATTTCATCTACATAATACAGATGCTTGCAGCAATCAGCCACTGATGAGCAAGTCTTCCCTTAATCGCCCGAGAGAAACCAATGTCTGCGCAACACTCCAATTGGTTTTTTCCACAAAGATGAGCTTTTCATCTGAAGAGACCCCGACAAGCACTCAGAAAAGGCCCAGAGATGCAAGGTTTCTCCTCCACACTTTTGTTATTACCACCATTCTTATAAACAGGCTTGGCCAGAGCATCTCTTCACTGCCTGGGAAGATCTCTCAGGCTCTGGCCATACCCAGAAGACCTTGAAACCGACCCTGAAGGGAGAGAAGTAGGGACCCTTCCCTTCCTCTTGAGCCCAAGCACTGCCCATGACCCCAGGGGACCCAACATTCCTGCAGAGCATTTAGGCCCCAGCATTCAAAAGCTGCGACTCTGGAGGATTTGATGACAGTTGCCTGGGCTCCCAGCCAGATCCCAGAACTGCAGCAAAGCCAAACAGGAACTATGGCGCTGCTGGCAATGTAACTTGCTAGATGCACTGGGCTACTAATCTTATAAGACTACTCAAGAGGAGGAGAAATCTGTGTAAATGCCTGCTTTTGTCAGGGTCCAGTTGACAGCCAGGAAGGAGCAGAGGTTCCAACTACTATGTAGGCTCTCTATCTGAGCCAGACCACTGCTGGGCAAGCTGGTGGGCTGCAAGTTCCCATCCATGTCCAGCCAGCAGCTAGGCTCATTTCCACTCCTGAACAAGAGGCAATGGGGAATATCCAGGATCTGAATAGGGAAAGCAGAGCAGATAATAGCTTAAATACTCAATAACCTGAGCATGCAGGTTGTATCTAACACCAGTCATGCTCAGAAGAGACACCTGGAAATAAATGGGCATGACTGGCACAGGGTCATTCATTTAAATGCGTCTACTCAGAGTAGAACTTAGTTGGCTTCAACCCAACCTTACTAAAAAGGCTTGTTTAGACACAACTGCCAAGCCATGGTTTGTCCTAACTGTAGTGCAGGCACCAAACCAAAGTGTGTGCGCCAAACAAGCAAACTATGGTTTATAAAGTACAGCCTAGCATCACCACTGAACAGCTGCTAGGACCCAGAATGGGCAGGTTCGCCTGGGTGATGGTGGTCCTTCAAGTAACTTGACGCCCACCAATAGCCCTGAGCGTGGAGGCTGGAGCCAAAGAAACCAATGAAGTTGAAGCAGGTAAATTAATGAGCTCCGGAGGGAGCCATCACCCTAGCAAAAGTCTAGAGAAGACTGAGGGGGCTTGCATACTTATTTATTAATATTACCTGTATTCCAATATTCGTTTTTTAAAAATAAAATACCAAAGCACTTTACATGGCAACAGAAACAAGAACACAGAACAAAAGGTAACAGTGGAAGTTATCAGCATCAATGATAGTAGCCAGAGGGGCCAGGAGCAGCTATTAACTGTCTGGGAAAGATTGAGGGAAGAACTTTGTTTTTCATTGCGAGCAAAAGTGCCCAACCATCGGCACCCATCTGATCACCAAGGGGAGATTAGTCCACAAGTTAGGGGCCACCACAAAGAAAGCCATTCTTAGCACCAACAAGAGGTGGGCATCTGCAGGCTGCAATACAGTTATTAGGGTTTCCTTGCTGATCACAGTGACCTCTACCTGGTCATAGCCGACAGCAGGATGATGGCTTGCAGCTGGGTCTTCTCCCTTTTCCTGGGCAGATCCTTCCTCCTGAGTAGCCTCCCTGCCAACAGCCCTGTCTGGCAGCGAAACAGGTACTCCTGTGCCTTTGAGCATCCCGTGTGATAATGACTACCAGACAGTTAATTTTGATTCCTTTCAACACAGAATCCATGAGCTGATTCAAGCTTTCAGGGAAATAATGTGATATAGTCTCCCAAGAGACGCGGGTGGCGCTGTGGGTAAAGCCTCAGCGCCTAGGACTTGCTGATCGCATGGTCGGCGGTTCGAACCCCCGCGGCGGGGTGAGCTCCCGTCGTTCGGTCCCTGCTCCTGCCCACCTAGCAGTTCGAAAGCACCCTTAAGTGCAAGTAGATAAATAGGTACCGCTTTATAGCGGGAAGGTAAACGGCGTTTCCGTGTGCTGCTCTGGTGCCGGTTCGCTAGAGCAGCTTCGTCACGCTGGCCATGTGACCCGGAAGTGTCTGCGGACAGCGCTGGCTCCCGGCCTCTAGAGTGAGATGAGCACACAACCCTAGAGTCTGTCAAGACTGGCCCGTACGGGCAGGAGTACCTTTACCTTTTTACCTTTAGTCTCCCAAGACAGTACCACTTCAGAACATGTTTCTAGGCAAGAGAAGACTGAATGTGTGCATCTTCTCCAAGGTTGGTTGGCTTTTTTGTTCGTTTTTTAAGAAAAAAGTTCGAGGAATCTATAAATTAAGTGCAACACAGAAAAGGATTTGAGGCTTATCTTCTACATACAGGGAGTGTTAGGGAAAGGCGCAGTAGGTTAGAGAATGGTGCTGATAACACCAAGGTTGCAGGTTCAATCCCCACATGGGACAGCTACATATTCCTGCACAGCTCATACTCTGGTTTCTCTTCAGGTCGTAGATTTTTTTCACCTTTTATTAAGTATGTTCCTGCACTGCAGGGGGTTGGACTAGATGATTCTCAGGGTACCTTCCCAACTCTACAATTTTTCGATCCACTTCTCACTTGCATTGCAATGCAGCACAGTCTCCAATGGACTGTACCACATGCTGTTTCGAACCATTTGAATCAGATTAGTAATGTATACTGCTGTTTCCGTGTAGCAGATTTTTCTTTCTGCACACTTAAGAAACACATCCCTATAAATCCTCCCAGCAAGGAAGTTCAGCTTCCAGAGAAGAGGGTGGCAAGAAAGTGGGGAGGGGGGGGGTGATGGCAGTTAAAGCACCACCAATCAAAACAGTCCTCAAGTCCTGTAGAAACCTAAGTAAATGTGTAATATCACAGATGGCGCACAGATACCAACGTCAGTTCCATTCGGATCATTTTTTCAAAACCCAGCAAGAAATAATCCCCCATTGCTGAAAACCATGCTAACAGGTCCTCTGGAGCAAGAGTTTACTGAAGCACAGACAAAGCCAGGGGGGAAGCAAGGAACTTGGAAGCAAAACCTATGGGGTTGTTCAACAAGGGAACCAAGAGACCCCCACCCTCTAACTTGAAACAGCCTACACTGGAGGTAAAAAGCAGCATGAAGAATACAATACACCACCACCCCTGCCACAAATGAATTAACCCAACACAGAGATAATAAATTCAACACCTGTCCTGCACCATCAAAAGACTAAATGGCAAGTAAACTGAGAAAATAATTTTTAAACGGACACATCTTTTTATTTAAAAAAACACTACTTCTCAAGGGGCGCATGGCTTGGGTTCACCTACTGATGGACTGCAGAAACATGAACTTCAATAGCGTACAGTGGCCAATAGCTAGGAACATAGAACCTGCCATGTACTGAATCAAACCACTGGTCCATCTAGTGCAGTATTGCCTACACTGGTCGGCAGAGGCTCTCCAGAATTCCAGGCAGAGGTCTCTCCCAGTCCTACCTGGAGCTGCTGGGGATTGAACCTGAGACCTTCTGCACGCTAAGCAAATGCTCTACCACTGAGCTATGGCACCAGACTAGCTGCCCCTAAACAAACCACAAGACTGAATCCAACGTTCTCTTGTCCACTTGCACAAAAGGCCTCTGTGATCCAGCACAACAGTTACACCAGTGGAAACGCTGTGTGCAACAGATCTCCTCTTCCCAGGAACGAAAGAAAGTAAGAACAGAGTGGAGGGCATGCGAGACCAAGTTTCCCCATTACATTTGAACAGCTCTCTCTTTGAGGCACACATCAGCTTGCACGCTCAGCTTTCCTTTCAAAGCCTATTAAAGGAGTCTCCCAATGCTGGAAGATTTATTGCTCAGTACGATAGCTGCTGCACACCGCTTTGTTTGTTAATTGCGATTACTTTGCCTGCAGAAGAGTAGTCATCTAATAAATCAGTTATCTCCAGGAAGAATTGATTTTAAAAGTTGTTAGCATTGTAAACTGAAGTACTTGGTAACAGCACACAGTAAAAAAAGAAAGGTCCAAGTCTTCTATTTATATGCTCGTATTAGAGGATTCCTCCCACCCTTTTTTAAGGTTTTAAGAGACTGTCACAAACCAAGGAATCTTTATTATTTATTTGAGCTCCTTGGTAGAATCCAGTTTCATTGTTGCGGCATTAAAAAATGTCAGCACTGGAATAATATTTGTCAAATTTGAAAAAGTAAAAAATAAATCTCACACTGATCATTAATATTCTGCACAGCGAAAGCTGGATTTCAGCTAAGTAAAATACCGCTGAATGGATGTTCTAATGCACAACAGGACAGTTTTGGCATAACAATAAGCTATGGTTTGTTTAGCTAAACTACATTTGTATCTACTTCTGAACCAGCTCATTAGCCTTGAAATGCTGGGGACTGACCACAAAAGATCATAAAGCAGTTTGAAGCTGGTTGGTGAAAATAATCACCCCCGTAGTTATTATCATAGGTTAGGGAAGCCCAGGTGGTGCTCTCCAGATGTTGTTGGACTCCAACTCCCATCATCCCTACCAACTGGCCATACTGGCTAGAGTTCATGGGAACTGGAGCCCAACAACTCCTGGAGGGCACCACACTGGCTCCCTTTGTTGTTAGGATCCTGGATTCATTTATTTGGATGTAAAATTCATCCCCATCTTGGGGGTGAAAGAAAATTAGCAACATCTGACAGATAAGAAGCTCTAAATAAGCTTCACATACTGGGGCCTGGATTTTCCCCATGTGAAAAATACACACTACAGTGGTACCTCAGGTTAAGTACTTAATTCGTTCTGGAGGTCCGTTCTTAACCTGAAACTGTTCTTAACCTGAAGCACCACTTTAGATAACGGGGCCTCCTGCTGCTGCCGTACCGCTGGAGCACGATTTCTGTTCTCATCCTGAAGCAAAGTTCTTAACCCAAGGTAATATTTCTGGGTTAGCGGAGTCTGTAACCTGAAGCGTATGTAACCCGAGGTACCACTGTAATTCCAAATTAAATTTGGAACCCTGCAACAGCCTTGCACCTTAGAAGTTTTTATTATTAGGTTGTATAAGGGAAATATTTGCCCAGACAAGCCCCTCCTCCTTCTGGATTTGTGTGTGAATCATCACTGCCCTGGGCATAATTCCTGTCTGGAAGAAGTAAGGTCCATAGGAGTGAGTCACCCATAGAGACTGCGGCTTCCCCTGCAGGTGGGCAATGCAAGTCTGCCTGAACAACCCAATCACACGGGGCACAGGGATGCAGCAGAATTGACCACCCCCACTGTGGCTGATATGGAAGAGGAAAGGCCACTACAGAGGAATCATGCTACGTTGGTTTGGTTTTCCTTGAGCACCTGATAGGCCAAAGGCCAGCACACAACATCCTTCATCTGTTGCAGGGGCTCAAGCACCTTGGCAGCGTCAACCAATTTACTTGAGGGATCGCCTTACCCCATACAGGCCAATTTAGTCACTTCAGTCTGCTGATTGTGCCCTTCTGCAAGTGCCATGCAATGTCCATTCAGTACAGGTTGTTCCTTTAGTGTAGCAGCACCTGCACATTGGAACACTGGAACATTAGGTACCATTACCGGCTGAAAAAGTTTTCTGTTTCAACAGACCCATTCAGACGTATGGTTTGGTTATATCTAGCTTTGAATTTGTTTTAGATTTTTATTTTTTTTAAAAAGTTTCCAAATATGTCCTAAATATGTTTTATTTTTATAGATGTGTTTGCCACAATGTGCCCCTATTGAACGAAGGACAGAATATAAATTTAATAAACAAACTACTCCAGCGGCCTTGAACTGTAGCCCTGCCTTGCTTCCAAACCTCTGGCCATGTTTGGAATGTAGCCTGTTGTACAAAGTTAGGGGTACATTTCTTGCTCTGCTCACTTTCACTTCTGGCCCTCCTTACTGCTGACTTGCTGCCCCTGGAAGGTGGTTCATGAGGTAACGAAGCCCTTGGACTGAAATTAATTAATTGATTGACTGATTTCTGTTCTATCACATTTCAGGCCCACCTTTCTACCAAAAAGTTCAAGGCAGCATGGATGCTTTAGTTTAGATTCTTGCAATAGGTAAAAAGGTAAAGGAGCCCTGGATGGTTAAGTCCAGTCAAAGGCGACTATGGGGTTGCGGCGCTGATCTCGCTTTCAGGCCGAGGGAGCCGGCGTTTGTCCATAGACAGCTTTCCAGGTCATGAGTCCAGCACAACTAAACCACTTCTGGTGCAATGGGACAGAAGCCAGAGTGCACAGAAACACCATTTACCTTCCCGCCACAGCTGTACCTATTTATCTACTTGCACTGGTATGCTTTCAAACTGCTAGGTTGGCAGGAGCTAGGACAGAGCAACGGGAGCTCACTCCGTCATGCGGATTCAAACCGCCGACCTTTCGATCGGCAAGCCCAAGAGGCTCAGTGGTTTAAACCACAGCGCCACCCGCATCCCATTGCGGGGAGTTGGACTAGATGACCAATGGTGTCCCTTCCAACTCTACAACTATATTATTCTACATGGCTCTTCTCCAAGAGCCCAAGGACACTCACTGAGCTTCATAGTGGAGCCGGCACTCTTAACCACTACACCACAACAGCGTAATCTTCCCAGCCTTGCACTTTATAGCAAAAAAAGAGACTCTATCCCCATTCAAAGGCTATATATACCAAGTGGACCTTCTCAGAGAAATGCAGCCTCTCAGACGATTGTGGACCTGCTTACCTGCCCGCCTCGAGTCGGCATTCGAAAGCTTCCAAGTCACATGGCAACAGAAGAGGCTTCTGCACCATGTCTCTGTCTAATCTAACACGTGCTGGCATCCTGCTGAACCCGAGAGGAATCGGAAAGGAAAGCTGGTACGGAGGAGTGGATTAAAAGTCAATTGCTGTCGCGCTGCCGGGTCTCGTCACCACTCTCCCGTACCCAGAGCTATTAAACCTGCAGCGCTCCAGGAGCTGCTGAGTGGTGTCACTTCAGTCTTTCGCCTGAAATCACAGCGTACTTTAAGGATGTCAGTAGCACAGTCACAGCTGGGGAGAGCGGGAGCTCAGCGGTAGAACACCTGCCTTTGCATGCAGAAGGTCCTGGGGTCAATCCCCAAAATCTCCAGGTAGGACAAACGAAAGATGCTTACCTGAAATGTTGGAGCGCCTCTGCTAGCCAGTGTCAATAATACAGAACTAGATACACCAGTGGTCTTGACTTGGTACAAGGCAGCAGCTACCTATGTTCCTAAGGGAAGGGCCATAGCTCACTGATAAAGCGTCTCTAACTTTGCACGGAGAAGCTCCAGGCCTCAATTCTCAGAATCTCCAACTAGGGTTGAGAATGGCCCCTGTATGGAAAGTTGGAGAGTCGTTGCCAGCCAGTGCAGGAAATACTGAGCTAGATGGAACAATTACCTATGTATCTACAAGGCCACAAAACTCAATTCATCCACATACTCAAAGCCATACAAAAGTTTGGGACATGTTGATTTGACATGTCAGTCCCTCTTCCTCAGAAACTCTGGGAATCATAGCTGGGGAGGAGGTCTCCTAACAATTCTCAGCACCCTTAACAAACTACAGATCCCAGGACTCCATGGGGGAAGCCATGATGGTTGAAGTAGGATCAAAGTGCTTTAAATAAATGGTGCCGATATGGTCCAGTTCTCAAAATGGAACGTAGGAAGCTGTCACAGGCTGTGGCTGAGTTGCTCAGATCCTAACAAATAATGGGAAAGAGGAGGGAAGGCCCTGGAAAAGGCAGCTGGCCAACAAAGGTAGTGGCTGAGCAATGAGAGAGATCAAGAAAAGAAAGCTGGAAGATGAAGTGGTTCAGAGAGAGGCCGCGTCAGGAAACAGAGTCCATATTTGCAGAGCCCATAGTTAAAGCTCTTATGCCATTGCAAAAGTTGTTGCTTCCCCCAAAGAATCCAGGGAACTACAGTTTCATTAAGGGTGCTGAAAGTTTTTAGGAGACCCCCTCTATTCCCCTCGTGGAAATACAGTTCTCAAGAGTTCCCTGGGAAGAGGGATTGATTGTTAGCTTGCTCTGGAAACTGTAGCTCTGTGAGGGAAATAGGGGGTATCTTAACAACTCTCAGCACCCTTAATTAAACTACAGTTTCCAGGATTTTTTTTGGGGGGGGGAGCTGTGACTGTTTGAAGTGGTATCACAGTGCTTTAAATGGATAGTGCAGATGTGGCCTTATACAGACCCAGGGGAATAACCGAAGGATGGTGCCTTCTCCGTCTGCAGCAGAACTAATCGTTTAGCATGCAGAGCACAAGTGCATGTCAGAAATGCATGCCACATCCAAATGAGTTTTTGATACGTTACCACAAATAGCTAATAAGGAGGGGAGAAGCAGAAGGGAGGGACAGGCCACACCAACCTTTAGTATAATTGCTCTCCTCTCCTGCCAATACTCTTAGTCTCATTTGGGACTAATGGTCTGTCTTCAATTAGGCTCTCAAGCTTCCAAAAAAAATATGAAAGCAGCTTTTTATTGTACCCAAAGTTTGTCTAATAAGCACATACTTTGCAAAACAGCAGGGCAATGTTTGGGAGATTTGTTTTGCTTTTTTCAAACCAAGAGAAAACGTGGACTGGGGGGGAGATACCTAAGCCAATGATGGGAGCAGGGTTGGCTGGGGGAAAAAACCAGCAGGAAACGTAAGGTTTTGCCTTAGGAGCTGATCCAGTGGAAAACCTGTCCTGGACTGTCCCACTTCAGACCGGATGTAGGGGGGATTGCATCACAAATTCTCTGAACACAGGTCAGTAGATATCAGAATAGAAGAGTTCCAGCCTATTATGTCATGGATTCTCTCCCCCATCCAAGGAATCCTGGGAAACTGTATAACTGAAGGAGCATTTCATTAAATATTTTATTTTAAAAATGTTTGCATACAATATTAATTGCATTCATCCATAACTATTTCAGTATTTGTATAGGTGCATTTCAGCCCACGTCATTCAACCTGGATAGTGAGGTCCAAGTTCCAAGGGCCTTCTGGAGGTTCCATCATTGTGAGAAGTGAAGTTACAGGGAACCAGGCAGAGGGCCTTCTTGGTAGTGGTACCCACCCTGTGGAATGCCCTCCGATCAGATGGCAAAGAGTTAAACAATTATACAACTTTCCGTAGATATCAGAAGGCAGCCCTGCTAACGTTTGATGTTTTGTTTTGTCTCTTCATATTAGAAACTGCCCAGAGTGGCTGGGGTTACCAGCAACAAGTTGTTGTTGTTGTTGTTGTTGTAAGGTTCTCTAACATCTAACATCTCTCAGCACCCTTAACAAAATAAACTTCCCAGGATCCTTTGCTGGGGCAGGGACAGCATGACTCTTACAAGTGGTAGAAGAGGTATTTAAATGTGTAGTGCCGATGTGGCCTTCGTGAACAAGGGCTCTATCCTATCTGAATAGAGTGATATTACACCACTGGAAGCACAATTCCAGTTGAGCTTTAAAAGCACATCCTCCAAGCGGGGTTACCGTACAACACACTTTTCCAGGAAGCGCAGCAAGTACTCCTTATCAACCAGCCACAGTAAAGAAACAGGATTGCTGCCATATATATATATACACACACACACACACACACACACACACGAGAAATAACCTCTCCCGACAGCGTGACAGCTGACATTCTAAACTGAAAAAGCTATTTGCCAAGAATTATCAAGCCAGGCTTCTCCCTCTCTGATAGATGGCAGAAGAAAGAACAACAAAGGCCACACACATATCATAAATCACAACTATTATTGAATGCCTAGCCACATAATAGCAACAGTCAAACTGAATAAAGACGCTTTTCAGGGCTCATCTGTACAGGGGAAAGGGGGAGGAGGGAGAAAAAGGTAAGACTAAAAAAATCTGGAAAAAATCCCAAGTTGTGATTCTAGCATTTAAAAAACAAACAATCAAACGGCAAACCCATACCCTTTAAAGAAAAGGTATTTAATATTGTGCCTGACTTTTATTTATTTAGGACAGTATTCTCCAACCTGGTGCCCTCTAGATGTTTCTGAACTCTAGCTGTCATCCGAAACAACTGGAATGTACCAGGTTGTCAAAGGCCAATTTAGAGCATTAAAATGCTCAAGGATGCATACAAATACAACATGGTGTTTATTTATTTGCTGAAAATATTTGTTGAAAGATTCCCTTGATAAAAAAAAAATTTTAAGCTCTCAGATTGCTTAATAATATTCAATAAAGTGGTCTGCATCTTGTATGTTTGCTAAGAGGGTGGGAAAAACACATCTCAGACCGGTTTTATTTTGTTTTTTAGTCAAGTTGCAAGCCCTCAGTGTTCCATAGTTAATGTTTTGGTGCTCAGTATGTCGCTGCTCAAATGGGGTATTCGACAAACTTAAGAAACCATGCCAAATATTGCCCTAAAAAAGCTAAAATAAAATTAAGAGCCATACTGCTCATTAAGAGAAGATGAAAACATATTAATAGATGTAAGGAGGAGGAACCTCCCAAGGCAACATTTTGTTTAAGAGAATATGTATATAAAGAGATACTGCGGCAGCTGTGTACACAAGGTAACATTTGGTCTTTTGTCTGCTTTGGCAATTGTTAAAAACTACATACCAGTTTTCTCCACTCCAACTGCAACAGAGAGCACAGTGCTGCAGAGCAGCTAAAAGGCTGAGCTGCAATGACCCTTGCGCCTGGTTCAAATTACACTTCTACCCTGAACTCAGCAGATGGACTTAGAGGAGTCATCATTCTCTCAATGCCGGGGCCGGGGCGAATGTGTGGTTGTGCAGATATCATTGCTGTGTTTCAGCCCTTTGATGCTGCCTGGGTTGATGGGAGTTGGGAGTCCAGCAACATCTGTAGAGCCAGAGGTTCTCCACCTTTGGGCCAAGGCAATGGGATAAGACAAACATCACACCAAGCCATGCCTTGTACTAGCCATAACTTAGAACCTAGATGATGGAAGGCAGCATCCCTTGCATGATTTAGGGGAAAGTGTTCTCACGGCCTTCCACGTGTTTTGGGCTGAATGTCCCCAGTGGGGAGTCTTGTCAGCTCACCTAGACTTTCTGTTGTCCTGCACCCACCTAGCCAAGGAAGGCAATTGGCTGGTGGTAAATTCTTTATTGACAAATGGATGCACTTATGGCAGCTCCTAAGGTGCTTCTGGACGGACACAGGCCTTTAGCGCCCACTTAGCTGACCTTAACTTTTCCAGGTTCATGCCCTATGGAGCGGTGGAAGCAGCAGTGGGACCATGCCCCGCTCCTAGGCTTATGTACCCTCATTTGCCAGAGTGTGCTCACATAACTTGAGACTTCTCCTGCATGAAGTTGTTGCTGATCTTTCCTCTTCAAGCCCCTCCTGGCTCCAGGAGACAGTGGGGATGGCGTGGATTTGACTGGACTGCCCCTCGCCTGAACAGCATCTTCCTCCACTTCCAACATGTCCTGAGCCCCCACCTCCATCCTAATGCTCCAACCCTTCCTCTCTCCCCGCCCCGGCTCCTGCCGCATGGGTGGCACCAAACCCCTTAAATCGCTGGGTCAGTCTCTAGCCCCCTTCCCTCTGCCACAAACTTGTCAGAGCCCTGGCACCCACGCAATTTAAATAACAGACTTGCATGGACTCAGTATTTGCACTGGGACTGGTCAGGTCAATTCAGGACACTATAAGAAGAGCCTGTCTGGATCAGGCCAATGGCCCATCTGGTCCAGCATCCTGTTGTCACAGTAGCCAACTGGATGCCTCAAATGGGAAGTTTGCATGCAGGACCCAAGTGCAACAGCACTCACGTCTCCTACCGTTTCCAGCAACGGATATTCAGAAGCATTACTGCCTTGCAGCTATGTAGGCAAAGCATAGCCACCATGACTAGTTGCCATTGATAGCCTCCATGGATTTGTCTAATCCTATATCCGAATTGCAGATACTTATGAAAGCATGAAGCCCAACCTTCAGCATGAACGCCCCCCTATGGCTGCCGATAAACATACTAAATGGTATTTTGCATTTCCATAGCGCCTTTCATCTGAGCAGTTCAAAAGAATCTTGGCACTTTGATTTTCAGAGAATAAAGAGCCAACATGCATTTGTTTTCATTCTTCCCCAGTTAACGGGAGAGAGCTTCTAATAAGAACTCTCCCAGAAGATAAACCCAAGGACAGCAGCAGCAAGAGGGGATAATGGAACAGAGGAAAGAAAGAATAATTATCAGCCACTTCCCCCAAAATGTTTCTTGCACATTTTTTCTGCATAGGCAAGGGTAGGCCTGAGATTGAAGAACTGCCACAGCCTCTCTCAGTTCTGTTGGCTCGGCTGCTCTGGTAAGATCCCTGCTGGATCACAAAAAAGTCCTATCTAGTCCAGCAGCCAGCTTCCCAAATGTTCGCCCACTCAGGTGCTTCAAGACTAAGAGGAAGGACTATGGCTCAACTAAGTGTATCTGCTTTGCTTGCAGAACGTACCCAGTTCAGTCCTCAGTGGTATCTCCAGCCCCCTGCCCTGAAACCCTGGGGGGCAGCTGCCAGTCAGTATAGACAGTACTAAGCTAGATGGACCAATGGTCTGATTCAGTATAAGGCAACTTCCTGTTTTCCTAAGGATACAGCAGGGTATGAAGGCAACGCCCCCTGCCTTAGCTACTGTAAACCACTAAGATGTAGTAGTTAAGAGTGTTGGACTAGGCCCTGGGAGACCAGGGTTCACATCCCTATTCTGGGATGAAGCTTCCTGGGTGACCTTGGGCCAGGCACTCTCCCTCTCAGCCTAACATACCTCACAGGGTTGCTGTGGGGATGAAATGAGGAGAACCACTTCAGCCTTGAGCTCCTTGGGAAGAAAAATGTGGGGTATAAATGAAAATAAAACTGAATTTCAGAGAGAGAGAGAGAGAGAGAGAGAGAGAGAGAGAGAGAGAGACTCCATTTAGCTACCATAGCTGCTACCCATTGACAGATCTCTCTCCTCCTCCATGAATTTGCCCCATTTTAATGCAATCTAAGCCCACCTTTGACAACCTGGTGCCCTCCAAATGTCTGGGACTACAACTCCCGCCAGTCCCTGCCAGCACTGTGGTCACACCCTCAGCGTTCATGTAAAAGATTTTAAATGTGGGATGTGGGTTTGACCCTGCATAATTTAACAGCAAATTCCAGTCAATTAAACTACACACTTTTAAGCCTGGATTAAAGGTGTGAGGTCTGAAAGCCAACAGGCGGGAATGGCCTAAATCCCATGTATCATATATTGCAAGAATCATGAAGTAAAATGCAAAATCACCAAACTTCTTTCTTGTTTTCCTGGCTTTGGCTGAATGTCAATCCTCCAAATGACTCAAGGTGGACTCATTCTGCTTCCCCCTTATCCTCCCAACAGTAAGTAAAGCTAAGAGAGTGTGACTGGCTTAAGTTCACCCAAGGAATTTCTGGCTGAGCTGGAGAGCTTAGGGCCTCGGGCTACAGCCATTTTAGAATAATGGTTAATCCAGCCCTGTTCACTGTGTCAATAAACAGCTTCTCTCGTCTGCCCCAAATCTTCATCCGGATGAGCTCTGGCATCATTAGACAGATGGAAGGTGGGGAGAGCTTCTCTCTCTACACCATGCATAGCTTTAATAAACCTCTCTCCTGTTCCCCATTCACACTGCAATCCTCTGTTCAGAAGTAATCCCGCTGAGTTCAATTAGATTTACTCCCAAGAAAATGGGCATAGCCTCAAGGCGATCCAATTTCTTTCCGGAACTACTTCTAGCTTTTTATTTTTTATATATATTTATTCGCTAAAGACTTTAAAACTGCCTTTCATCATCATCTTCACCATCACCATCATTAACCTGCTCTTCACTCTAAGGTCCTAGGGTGGGATGATGTTGTTGATGGTGATGATAATACCCTTTTGAAACTTCAAATGAACAAATACAACCACAAAATATAGGGTTTACATATCAAGACAGTGGCAGAAATGCTTAACAATATACTTTCAAGATGGAACAACCAGAAGTCTACTAAGTACTCCCAGTGTGGACGCAGCATGGAATATTAAAATATTTGGGTTATTAGAATACTGGCAGTATCATGGAAGCTTTCGTTTTTCTGATGTCATAAAGAGGCTTTCTGGCCCTGGCTTAGGGCTCGCAAAGCTTTTCAGACTTTAGAAACTGAATTTCATGGTCCATGAGCAACATATGCAAACTCCAGCCTCCTCTTCCGATGTCAATACTTCTCACGTTTTAAAATGACACCTTGTTGGTGAACTTTTGAGGAAAACAGACACTCCATGGTTATGTATGTGATTTTTCCCCCCTCTTAATGTTACAGTGAATGCCCAAAATCTGATGAATGTTGACGTTCCCATGTGAACGCTGACAATCCCAGATGGATTCTGAAATTAGATATATCTATTTCCTCACTTTTCAGACATATACCAGCGAATGTTTTGACTGTGACATTTAGGTGACAACGTCTGATTTTTCAGACATTCACATGTGAGCGTCAATAGTCAATGGATTTTGGACATTTTCTGTCTCATATATGTGCAAACATATAATCACACACATAATAGATAAAAATGGATGGATAGATAGAGAAATTTCCATTAAGTCTGTGAGAGATCCTTTTTTGGTCATATAAGAAGCATAATTTTAAAGGAAGACCAATAAATGGTTATCTCTCTTCTAGCAGCCTCAAGAATATGTATTAGCTATAACTGGAAAAAGAAGGAAGTACTGTACCAATAACTTCTCAATGGCTGTTGAAAATCTGGGCCACACTAAGGATAATAAAACTTACAAACTCTGCCCAAACAAGGTTGGTGAGGAGACAGTGTCTCCCTGTTATGTTTTGGAATTTGAAAGTGGATTCTATACATTAATACGAGTTCAGTATGGTATAAGCACATTAAGGCAGACATTATTTAATTGGGGGTGGCTAATTAAGTTCATTGACAGAAAGAGAAGAGTGAGCACTTGCTTTTATCCCAAGAATAGCTAAGGCAGGAGAGATGCCACCACCCTCACCTGTCCGCCTCTGAGAAGAAAAGAAAAACTACCCTGGCTTCAAGTCTTCACCCCATGCTCTGCCTCAGAATGGAAGCAATCCTGGAAGCAGGACAGGAGAGCAAGAGCACTCTCCTATTTATGATATCCGCCAACCGGCACTGAGAGCTGTGTGGCGACTTTCCACTTATGCAGGGGTTATGTTCTGGGGTCCCACGTTCATAAGTGAAATGCAAGTAAGTGGGGACATCATCTTTGGGCTCTGGGGTGGGTTTTCTGGCTTGCCACTCGTCACTTCCGGGTTCCCAGCACTGCGCGTGTGCGCTGTCATGTGCAAGTAGACTGAGCAGAAGTGGGGAGTTGTTTGTACTGGAAGAAATGTAGCCTTCGTAACAAGCAGCCAACACGTTAATCTGCTTCTCAAAAAAAAGTGTTGAGTGCCCAGATCTCTCTCAATGTAGAAGGTACAGTCATTTTTCTTGAAAAGAGGAAAAACTAAAAACAAGCAAAGAGGGAGTGAGCACATGGGGCAACACCCTGGACCACAGCAGCAACATTTAGGTCACCCAACTCTCTTCTAAAACAGTTTGGGTGGGGGGAGAGGTAAAGGTCGAAGCAAGTCTCCAGCCAACTCTCACTGTCAAAAATTCAGGGACTCCTGACTATCCTGCATTGGAGGGTTGGACTAGATGATTATTTGCATCTCTTCCAACTCTATGGTTCTATATTCCTCCAGCTCCCAACAAAGCAATTCTCCCCCCACCCCTAGCTATTGCATTTCCACCAGTCACAGCTCTCCCCCCCCCCCCATCACCAGAACTGGGTAAAAAAAGACAACTCAAATTCTCGAATCGTGCCAAGTGGCACCTACAGCATCCATCGCCCTCGAGTGCCATTATTCAGAGCCTCAAAACAGGCAGCTTCCTGCAACACTGAATTCCCATGGCGGTGCCAGGCACACATCCCCAGATATTATCAGCCAGGCTCTGCGGTAAACAGAAAACAGGAGATGCACTTCCCAGGAGCTGCTCCATTTCAGCGCTGGGTGAAACCGTTCCTCCCCACTAAAAAGTTTCCTGCTGCTCTCATGCGGTTCAGGCTGGCTGTTACGGAAAGTGCAACACCATGCCCATTGCCAAACAGTAAAATAAATTTAAAGAAACATTGTAAAATTCCCCACTAAGGAAGCTTTGGAACCCAAAACGCCACCACAGAAATCTTGTCGTCCACCCCATCTGTTCTTGCTGTTACTCTAGCCGGAAAGCCAGTCTCTTCTACCCTGACAGGTTGCACCAGAAATAGCTATGCCATCACACAGCCAGCGTCGAAAGGGGGGGGAGTTGTTCCTACATGGGAACAGGCCGTAGTAACAACAACAAAAACAAATAATAATGCCTTCCCTCTTTTGCTACCCTCTTGTTTCTCCTTACATAGGGATAATAAAACACAAGAGAATGCAAGATCTAAGCAGAATCATTTTTAATCCTCCACCTCCTTTGCAAGGTCTTCAACATGGCATTATTTAATTTTCCACTTTTTTCTACTGTTTGTTTATGCCAATGCAGGGTGGCAGAAGCAGAAAGAAAAGCCAGATTAATGAAAATCCAAGCACGTCTGTGTTCACTAAGCAAGCAGTCATAGACTTCAGTGGGTATTTTATTATTTCTAAGGGAAAACACAGGAAGGGGGTGAGGCACAGCTTAAAAAAAAGGTGTGTCACTCTTTCTGTATAGATATAGAAGGACCCATGACTAGAGTGTACTTTATTTGCAAGTCTCATTTTCCATCCCACCGTTCGAATACATTTCCAGGCTCAGAAAACAAGCCAGGAGTTTAGCTCAGCCAGAGCTAACTCAAGCTGACAGCTATAGCACTGATGCCTGCCAGACTTGATTGACTGGTTGGATATATTTAGACCTGAGGGAGGGAACGAAGAAAAATGGAGGGTGGGTGGGTGGGAGAAATGAGAAAGATAAGGAGGAGGACACTGTTGTACGTTTGAACTAAAAATATAAAATCACAAAGGCTATTGTTAGCAATGGTAAATAATAAAAAAGGTAAGTGGCATCGCCTCCAGCAGGGTCTTCATCCCCACCCATCTCACACTCCATATGAACATAATCTCAGACAGATATCCATTTGCAGTTTTAGGTTGGAGAGAGAGGAAGGAAGGACACCTTTCTATACGTCGATGGTCCCTGGCTCCATCCCCAGCAAGGTTATTAAGATCTCGGGTAGTATCCCTGCCGAAGACTCTGGAGACAGGTGCTAGCCAAGAGGAGACCAACCTGAGCCTAAGTACCAATGATCAGGTCCAGCTGGAGTAGTGTTGCACTTAGGTAATTTTAGACTTAATGGAAGCCCCCGCATTAGACAGCATGAAACGCAATGCTTCACCGAGATCAAAATGTGGTATGTCAGTCCTCTGAGGGCCTTTCTGCTCATTCTGCTGGGCCCTGAACGCCTACCCAATTGCCCCAATGGTGCAGTTGAATAATATATATATATTAAGGCACCATGATACACATATGCTCATATGATTTAGCTCTGCGAAAGGTCACATGCTCTACAGGCAGAAGGCTCAATCCCCGGCATCTCCAGTGAAAATGATCTCAGCCAGCATGGTGGAGCATGAACCCTGTTAGAGACCTGCTGTTGGACAACAATGGATCACAAGATATATGGCCCATCTAGCCCAGGGTCCTGTTTCTCACAGTGGCCAACCAGATGCCTCTGGGATGCCCAGAAACTCGGAATGAAGCCAACAGCCTCCCGCTCTCCACTTCCTGTAACTGCAAATATTTGCAATTGCATACTGCCTTTAGGAGAATGGTTCCTGTAGCTCTGCAGGTGATGCTTGGCTGCAGCTCCCATCCCTGACCATAGGGGCAGGATGGCTACAGCTGATGGGAGCCGGAGTGCAGCAACATCTGGAGGACCAGAGGTTCCCACGCTCTCGGTTCTAGAAGCCCAACCCCACGGACCAACTTTGACAGGTCTTAGGAACAAGTGAGCGCCTCAAAGCTCTATGACGGACGCCATTTTCACCAGAAGCCAAAACAGTTTCCTGCAATAGTTTGATATTTCTGTTTTGTTAGCCACCATAATAAATAGGTGGTTTTAGAGATTAACGGCATCCTGCCAGAACAAACTTGTCTGAAGTGCTGCTCAATGCTTTCATCCCCGCAGTCGCCTCTATATATCATTCATAAAGTTTGTTACACATCATGGAGAAAGTGGGGGTGAGCAATGCTGTAATAGCTGGTGACAGAGTGGGAGGAGCCGGTATTGGATGAATGAAGTATGATGATTGCTTCTCCAGCACAATAATTCAGGAACATGGTTAACGGGCGCAATTCCTTGTTCTCTCCACTCCTCTCTTTTTACTTGACCTCCCATGTAGCTTAATTTCTCCCTCCTTTACTCCCGTCCACTCTGCCCACTGCCCTTGTGGCCTGATTACGATGTCTGGGACTTTTTGCTTGCCTCTGTTCCCAGGACTTCCTGACTCTCCCACACAGAGCGTCTAATTCCCCCGCTCTGCATAATCTCCCTCTCTCCCCCGCTCCCCCATAGACACACCCTCTTCTTCTGGCATTATGGACACTTGTAAAAGTATAAATATATGGGTTACTCATTTTTACTGAACTGAGCTGTGTCTGTCAGTTGTTGTTTTTTAAGTATTTATTGAGTGTCGTAAACAGAGCTAGACATTACAAGCATTCCAGATGTGTGGGGTGGATGGGGAGCTATGGGGCAGGAGGAGGAAGATAAGGAGGTAGTGATGGCCACCGAGCTGGATGGCTTTAAAAGACAAAAAATCATGGAAGATAAGGTTATCCATGACTACTCGCCATGGAGGCCATGCTCTGTGTCTCCTTGGTTGGAGGCAGTATAGTGGTACCTAGGGTTACTGACGCTTCAGATTATAGATGCTTCAGGTTACAGACGCTTCAGGTTACAGACTCCGCTAACCCAGAAATAGTACCTCAGGTTAAGAACTTTGCTTCAGGATGAGAACAGAAATTGTGCTGCTGCGGCGCAGCAACAGTGGGAGGCCCCATTGGCTAAAGTGGTACCTCAGATTAAGAACAGTTTCAGGTTAAGAATGGACCTCCAGAACAAATTAAGTTCTTAACCCGAGGTACCACTGTAATGCTTCTGAAGGCCAGATGCTGGAAACCACATAGGGGAGAATGCTCCTGTGCTCGGATCCTGCTAACGGGTTCCCCGCAAGTGCCTGACGGGCGGCCACTGATGGACAAGATAACCTGTTGGATCAAGCCAATGGCCTACCTGCTTTTGCCCTTAAGGAGGAGATGTGGTTTTAAAAGTGCCTTGTACACAACGTACATTTAAAGAACACTGTGGTTTGTTAAGGGTGCTGGGGCTTATAGCTGTGTGAGGGGCAGACTACAGTTCCCAGGATTCTTTGGGTCGGGGGGAGGCAATGTGCTTTGAATGTATGGCAGGTATGCGGGGGGGGGGGGAAGCTTGCAGACTATTCCTATAGTATTTGAATGGTAGATCTAGATTGCCCATTGGTGAGTGGAGAATCCCAAACAAACACATAAAACAATACCTGAGATTCACTGGGGCATTTTTCCTTTTAAGTGTTCTGATCACTTTTTAAGTAGGTTGCATGGAAGATGCTGGCTCTGCAGGGCCAAACACATCCATATGCAGAATTAGGTGCACAGGTGTCAAAACAGCAATGGACCCTTAAGCACTCAATGCACAAATACGAATAATAACACCAATGCCAGAAGTATTATTCTTATTTTCATTGTTATTATCATTTACGCAAATGCCACTACGGCTTAAACCCACTAATAATAACAACATATTTATATCCTGTCTTTGATGCTGAAGAAAGCCAAGGCAGCTAACAGAAACGGAAAGAAAGCACGGTATCCGACAAAACAATGCACCTTCTTTAAAGCCAACACATCAATGTAACCCAAATAAGCCAAGCAGGGAAGAAAGTGTAGCAGTAATACCAGACAGTCAGCTTGCCAAATTCTCCAAAGGCCTTCCTAAAAAAAATAATAATAATAAAAGGCTTTCACCATACAGTGAAAACTGAGCAATTAAGAAGCCCGGTGGGCCTCCCTAGGGAGAGAATCAGAGACCACAGATGCCCTCAGCTTCTCATATCTGTCTGCCAAAATTCAGACGTCAGGAGGACATGGAGCAGAACCTTGGATGTGCAGCTAAGCTTGAGAAAGGCTACACACTGGGGGTCCTCATGGGTTCCCTCTCCACGGGAATAGCCAAGAATGTTGCTATGCCCTGGCCTGATGCACGTCCCCCAGCCCCCTGCTCATGCAGAGCTGCAAATGTGGATCAGGGCACCAGGTTTTGATCCAAAACTGTTTCCCCCAAGACAGATGCCGACTTAAAGGATAAAGATTTCGAAGAAAACAACACACAAGCCTTAACACATACAGCGGCAGATTAGAGCCCAAGAACCTTAATTTATCAATTAGACACCATCTGCAGATTGTGCTCCTTGAAATAATTGTCGAATCTGACAATGCACTTCTGCTTCTAGAAAGTTTCAGCCAGCTTTGCTTCCATTTAATTAAATTTCTGCACTTAACTTTGATTGCGCTGAAAGCACCGCTGCTTTGCCCAGATTGAGTTCCTTCGCCACCTGCTGTGTTTGATCTAGCCACGTTTCCACAGTTATGGCAAAAATTATGCCTGATTTTTTTTTTCTTCCCCCCCCCCCTCCCCAAGAAAACTGGCTTGCCTTCACCCTTACCCCACATCTCTTCATAAAAATGCAATGGTGGAATGTAAAAATGCAGGGCTGTAGCTAAATGGCGGGGCACATGCTATGCATGCAGAAGGCCCCAAGTTCAACGCTTGGCAACCTGTAATACCCCAAGCCAGGTGCAGCCCACCAGATCCTTGATAACCCATTCACACCACCCTAGTTTTGCGGTCTCAAGCAAGCAGGAAAAAAACAAAACTATTCGGTGGGGCAGGGGGAACGACTACACATGGCTTAAGCCGTATACACAACCAGAACATTATTCCACACTAACTGGCAGAGGCTTTTTGGAGTTTCAGGCAGAGGTGGGTGCTTCTTGGCCACCCCCCTGGCATGACCAGGTTGCTTCCCTTCCTCCACTCTGCTACGATCTCCAGAGCAATTACGCAAATATTAAAATGGCTGTAAATGTCTTTTTTCTTCTGAGTTACAGCATAAATGTATTCATTTCTATGGGATTTTTAAAACTGCTGACCCCTTTTCTTTTGTAATTGCTTTGTTCCATTTTTATGAAACTGCAACTTTTATCAAATTGCAAAGCCACGCCGAGCGGTGCATTCCTGCTAGAAGGTAAAGTGCAGGTGCTCTAATAAATAAATAAGATGCAAGCACAAACGTGCGGCTTTAAAATTAAAGAAGGCTGAATGGCAATAGGAAGGTTGCTCTCTCCCTGGTGGAGTGTCTGCTTTACATGCAGGGGGTCTGGGGTTCAATTTCTGGCATTGCCAGGAAGTAGTGGGAGAGAGCCCCGCCTGAAATCCTGCAAAGCTGCTGTCTGTCAGTGTAGACAACACTAAGATGAACCAATGGTCTGACTCAGCATGAGACCGCTTCCTCTGTTCCTGCAGAAACAAGACTTGAGGACTGACACAAAAGGGGACTTCTAAGTGCTTCACTGCAGAATGAGGGGGTGCACCTGCTTGTAACCCAGGTTGCAAAGCTGTGTTCACATTGGTTGTGAAGACTCTACAGCGGCTACCCTTTGAATTATGCATCTACCTTCACACCCTTAGTCACTCGCGGGATAATTATTCCTCCAGGACATGCTGGCAAGGCAAGTGCGTGGGCTGGTAAACTGTGTCGTATTTATCTGCAAAGTTCGTTGAAGGAAAACCACGACGTGCCCTGAAGCAGGTGCAGTTGTAGTTACTTCCGAGAATAAATTTAAAACAAAACAAAGCATCTTACCACTGGCAGCAATGCTAGCGAAGTCACTTAAGTAATGCAGCTGGAGTCCGGAGAGAAAATACCTGATAACACTTCACTAAGCAGACTGAACAAAAAAGAGTGTCTAATTTGACAAGAAAGGAACAGAAAAGTTATGTCTTTTAGTTCAGGCCTTGAACAAAGCAGGGAGACATACAATTAAACATACAGAGGACAACTCCTTCAGAACTACATAGCCAATCAGAGGATGCACTACCTTGGCAAAGATCAGGCCACTCTTGGGTAGCAGACTTCATAGTTAACAGAATTAACCCTTAGTTTAAATATTAGTTGATGCCAGATATTGCACTTCCAACAAGTAGTAACCTGCTGGTATATTTATGTAGAGTTTAACATGCATAATCCTTTGCTGAAAAAACAGAGGAGTTGGCTGTCTGCAAAAAAGTGCCATCAAAGGTATGTGCGCTTTGTTGGTTTGCTTTTTTAAAAAAGAATACCATACAAGGTTTACTGCTGAGGTAATATAAACCTCTCCAAACCAATAATGTGTTTCAGCAAGTTCCTAAAAATAATGTATTTTGGCCTTGCAGGTACAGGAATGGCTTCATCTTGTATCATACGGTACAAAATGGATTTACAGTCATACTGAACGAAACAATACAGAACCTGGTAACACTCTCCAAGGAACCATCGTTTGAGCATAACTATGTTGAAACATCAAAGACTGAAGAGGCAGTAATGCTTCTGAATACCAGCTGGCAGAAATGGCAGGAGGGGAGAGTGCTGTTGTGCCTGCTCAAGTCCTGCTTGCAGGCTCCTTGCAGGCATCTGGTTGGCCACTTTGAGGACAGGATATGCCCCTGGCCTAATCCAGCAGGACTCTTCTCACATCTGCCAGGATGACCCATAATATGCCTTTTCTGAAGGGGAGAGGCAGCTGGCAGTTGGGGTGTTCTTGGCCAGCAGAGGAGTTAACACCTTTTCTGGAAGGCAGGGTCAAAACTATAAAAAACTTTTATTAGCGGCCAGCAAGAAGAGGAGGGAAACTTTGTAGAGTCATGGGCACATTTGCAAATCAGAGGTCATGGGGAACACACACACACACACCCCACTGCCACTGTACACAAAACAAATTTACCATACTGGTTATAATACAATGCTTCTTTCAAACCTAGTTCTTTTTTAGAGGGGAGAGACCCTGTGTCCAACCCTCTGCAATGGAGTAATCTCAGCTAAAGCAATGGTCATGTGTACCCTCAGCTACCACACTGGCAAACTCTGTGCTAAGCTCTTTGTTTTCACAGGGAGCTGGCTTATGCCGAGTGAGACGAATACTGTTTACACTGACTGGCAGCGTCTCTCCAGGGTTTCCAGCAGGGTCTGCCCAACACCTACCTGGAGATGCTCTTGACTGAACCGAAGACCTTCTGCATGCAAATATGTGCATGGCCCTTTCCTTAAATCCAAGTGGATGGGGTACACACACACACCTTAGTTACCTACAGAAGGCTGTTAAAGGGAATTGTGTAAAAGGGTATTCTTCAGGAAGAAGAAGAATTCTCAGGCTTCATCCATTTTGGCTAAACAGAGCCTCCATGTTCACAGAGAGTGCATCTCTGAAAACAAGGTGCTGAGGGACAGCAGCCTTCCTGGAAGCTGGGATACATGGACCTTTTGTCTGATCCAGCAGCGAGTACAGAGAGAAGAGAATGAAGAAGGAGGTGGTGGTGATGGCTTTGTTTTTTGTGCAAAGCAAGGCCAAAATGCCAAGCAGTGCAAGAGACGGTTGCACAGGTATGCCAAAGTGCAACACGGAGGACAAACGAAGACAAGCCCCAATCAGGACAAGATCTCTGGGCGCACCCTCCCAAGCAGATAAAGTTCATGCCCGTAATGAACGGCGTCTCCTGTTCTTGCTGAAGGTTCCCCAATGTACTTAGCCCTCCATGGTAGAACTGCCAATCTCGCAGAAGGGGTCAATTATATTACAAGAAGGGGAAGCAACAGAGACAGCCCCATGTCCTGACTTTCAATCCTGCCCTAAATTAACTTTTAATACAGAACAGAATGTCACATTCACTTCTCTCCATAATCTAAAAAATTCTCCTTTATGCTGCAGCAATAAAGGGGAGTATTTAAAAATTAAACAGAGCTTAGGGAGGAGGGGGAGGGAAGCATGCAGGAATATATTTCATTTCCACATGACTAGGCATTTTAACATCCAAAGAGGAAAGAGAGGTGCTCTCAGAGTAGCAAGCAAGGAGATGAAGGTGTTAAATACAGGGGAGGGTATTTTACAGTGGAATGAATACACATTTCAGTTTAGTGAATTGTCAGGCTCCCAAAGTCCAAAATGCCTAAAATTTGACAAGGAAGACCCAGCCTCCAATGTGAGGAGTAAAATAATTCAAGTTAACTGTTTGTATCCAATGTGAAAATCCCTTAGCGGTCTGCTTACTCCGCCAGCAAAATGGTTTGCGCTAGTGAAATGTTGTCAACTTTGTGCAACCTGCTGCACAATGAATTTCCACTAGTGCAACTGTAGCATTGGGTTAATCTGTTGCACAGCACTGCACATCTGCTGGCACACGAGCCCTTGCACCAACCAAGGCAGAACGCCGGATGAAGACGGTCTATTCATTCATCCTGTCAAAGTATAAAAGGCGGTGGTTGCATGTCACAGTAAACCACAATTAACGGTTTACCGTGCATGCACAGAAGGCTCCTACTTGAATGCATCCGTCTTACCCTCAGGAGCAACAACCCACAGAGCCCCGTTTACTGTTACATCTCAACTGAGGATTGTGGTTTGTCTCACTCCAAACAAATCCTAACATGAAGCCAAAGTTTGTTCTTCGCTTCACATCAAACTTAGCCAAAGTCTAGACTTGTGATATGCATGTTCAAATCCTCTTTCAGTCATTTTAATCTAAAAATTAAAATTAAAAAATCATTAAGGCTGCAATCCTATGCACACTTACTTAGGAGCACAGTGGGACTTACTTCTGTGTAAACACATACAGAAATATATTTTAAGAGGCGCTGGGCAACCTAGACTCATGCTCTGTTCTTCATCTGTAAAACAGGAAGAATAACAGCCCAGAGCTATTACATGGACCATGAAAGATGAGAGGTTGCATCCAAAGAAGTTCAGAGTAGACTCACTGAAATCAATGGACCTAACTTAGTCATGTTTATTAATTTCAGTGAGTCTACTCTGAGTATGACTAACGTTTGATGCAACCCAAAGAGTACTGAACTGAAGAAGTTTTGGAAACCTTGGTCTAGACTAACTGCTGGAGACTGTCTCCAGGGTTTCAGACAAATGTCTTTTCCAGCAGTACCTGGAGATACCAGGAACCTGGGAGTTTCTTCATACAGAATAGGTGCTCCACCACTAAGCTGCGACCTAGGCCTACCGAGTCTATTATGGACCTGGACCTGTCATGAAAAAAGTGGCCAAGAAGCCACATTAGAAGATGGAGACAGAGATGCTCCACCACCTTTCACTCACTGTTTCAAGAGGCCCTCTGGAACAAGCGGTTGTGGATAAGGTTCTCTAACTCCTTTATTTTTCAAAGAATTGTGAGGCGAGGCTGCAGGCCCTGTGAAGCTGCTTGCCTTTCCACCCTCACCACCTGTTGAGGATTAAGCCCAGGTGCATTGCAAGTGGCTCTGAAGGAAAGGAAGCAGCAGGGAGGCGTTCTCTGCTTTGCAAGCCACAGACAAAGAAGGGGCGTGGGGAGAGGAAAGAAGCAGAAACCTATTTCTATAGAAGGCTTGGAGTTGTAGGGTTAACGGTTTGTCATGATATAAAATTACGCATGGCATGCAGAAAGAGGATAGAGGAGAGTTTTTCTCTCATACAACTAGAACTTGTGCACATCTAACAAAGCCGAAGAATTGATGCTTTTGAATGATGGTGCTGGAGGAGACTTTTGAGAGTCCCATGGACTGCAAGACCCTGATGTTGGAAAAGATGGAGGGCACAAGGAGAAGGGGACGACAGAGGACAAGATGGTTGGATAGTGTTCTTGAAGCTACCAGCATGAGTTTGACCAAATTGCGGGAGGCAGTGGAAGACAGGAGTGCCTGGCGTGCTCTGGTCCAGGGGGTCACAAAGAGTCGGACACGACTAAACAACAACAAACAAAGCTGAATACTGGAAGATTCAGGACAGATGAAAACTTATTCAGGCAGTGCGCAAGTTTATTTTGGAAGTCCCTCCGACAGGAGGCAGGGATGGCCACCAAGTTGAATGTCTTCAAAAGAGGTTTTGGACAAAATCATGGAGGGCAAGGCTATCAATGGCTACTAGCAAAACCAAGAGAGAGTTCTCAGGAGTGCCACAAACAGCCCAACACATTTCGGAGAATCCTTAGGAGCATCCTTAGAAGTAAATCTTAGCTCATTCATCTTTTTCTTACTGAATCAAACTTTTGGACGCAGTATGTTCCTGAATGCCAGTTGCTGGAAAATATAACTGGGAAGAGTGCTCTGGCGCTTGGGGTCCGCTTGCAGGTTTTCCACAGGCATCAGGTTGGCTACCGCGAGTACAGGATGCGGTACTACATGGGCAACTGGTCAGATCCAGCAAACTCTTCTTATTTTCTTGTCTCCAAGGAAGCTGGAAAGGTGACATTGCCTTTTATCCTATCATATAAGCAGAGGCTCTTAGACCAAATTGCAATTTTGACAGCGTCAGTTCTAACACAGGTCTCCTGATCACTATACCATTTGAGCAGCACTCATCTTTAGGCATAAACAAACATAAGTTGAGGCTATCATAGGAACATAGGAAGCTGCCTTACACCAAGTCAGAATGCAAGTATCTAGCTCAAAACTGTCTACACTGACTGGCAGCAGCACTCCAGGTTTTCAGGCAGGGAATCTTTCCCAGCCCAGCCTGGAAATGCCAGGGATTGAGCCTGGGACCTTCTGCAAGCAAACCAGATGTACCACCATTGAGCTCTATTCTGAAGACTCTATTTCATCAGGCCACCTGGGCATCACGGATTCACTAGCATAGCTCTCAAACCAACACTGCATCTTCCACGGTTGTCAGCCAGCCCTGAAACCCTCCTCAATGCTCTCAACCCTGCATTTTTCAAACCCGTGTTCAAAAACACAATAAAAGTGAACGAAGCTTTTTTTTTTGCAAATGTCTGTCCTGGGAAGGTGGGAACATTAATAATGACCCTTTTGTACAACTCAAACGCATCTGCTGCCATCTGCAGCCATCACTGCAGAGTCCAAATTTAATATGACAAGCTCTTCTCCTTCCTTTGGCACAGCCTGATTTTATTTTTAATGCCTCTTCCTTAACGGTCCATATTACAAGGAGGAGTTTTACAGGAGGGCACACTCACTTACTTTCAAAGTTAAAGGAAGGACAGCAGGGAGTCAGGCCCAAACCAGAACATCTTGATTTTTTTAAAAGCCATAATACATGGGCCATTTATTATCTATCCTATCCCACCGGCCTCTGAGAAGTTGAAATCAATTTCATTCATTTTCATTTAAAAAAAAAAAACCCAACTAGCCGATTTGCCTAAACCACCATCCTTTTAAGTGAACAGGAGTCCACAAACAAAAATAAAAACAGGTGTTCGCAAAAAGCAAAAAATACAAAAGCAAACCACCAACATGCCCGGTTACTTGTGGTTTCCACAATACGGAGGTGTGCCTTTGAAAAATAACTTCAGCTAACTAAAAAGCAGCACTCAACGGTGCTTTATCTGGGACACAGAACAAGTGCTAGTAAAGATGACTCAGCCTTTTAAAGACCCACTCAGATCTGGAGAGTTTAAAAGCAGCGGAGGTAGTAAAGGAAATAGTGTCAGAAAAGACCTCACACATCCATCCAGTTTGGCCTTTTGCTCTGACAAAGGGGTGGGCTCAGATCAAGACCTGGCCTACCATCTGCAGGCCATTTTCAACAGGCAGGAGAGGCCACCCAACTCAATCACCGGACATCATTATGACATCAGGAGACAAATTCAAAGCCCGCCCTGACAGTGCTGAGCAGCAAACTGGGACTGGAGCCATTGGCGAGCCTCCACTTCCTATGAAACTTCTCGCGAGAACCAACATTTTTCCAGACACCTTCATCAATGCCAGTTGTTGGGAATCACAAGTGGGGAGAGTGCTGTTATGCTCAAGTCCTGCTTGTGGGCTTCCCAACCGTGATCGAAATTCCCCGGGTACTGGGTGAGTTTTGCTACTGGCATGGGACCAACTACGACTGCGCAGTTTTCTGGGCACCAGGTTGGCAACTGACATCTCCATCGAGCCAGCTGATTCGCACGCGGTCCATCATCACATTAAGGAAAGTAAGTGCAGGGCAAAGGACAGATATAATGGGCTGTGCTGCAACCTTTCCACAGGCCACCCCAATGGAACTAACAAGACACAGTTCAAAAACTTCTGCCTTAGCCCATAGTTAACACCATTTCCACTTCCACTCTGTGTGTGTTTCTCATTCTTGCATACTGGGGCAAGTGAATTGCTGTAAGAGCAAGCTACAATTGAGCAATGTAGCGGAGATCATAGAATCATAGAATTCACAGACATGCCATTGTGGTGACCATAACCTAGGACTGGGGTCAGCAAACGGCGAGGCTTCCTATCAAAGCCCAGCCCCCTTCCTCCACAGGGCGGAGAGAAGTCAGGAAGAGGGAGGGAGGAGACACCACAGCAGGGAGGGAGGGAGCTGTTCGCGGGCCAGATCCAGAGGGCAATTGGGCTGGATCCGGCCCACAGGCCTTAGTTTGCCGAACCCTGACCTAGCTTATATGTCTGAGTTTCTAACACTGTCCATAGGCATCTTGTTGGCCATTGTGAGAATAGAATGCTGGACGAGATGGACCTTTGGCCTGAGAGGGTAGATTCTTGATTGTTCCTTTGCAGCCACATCTTTACTCTCGCCACATCTGACACCACATCAGATGTGGGACAGGTGGGTGTGATTTGGAGGAAACTACATCCCTGGCATAATTAGCTGAGAGGGTCAGGGCTTTCCCCACTGCTGCTCTCAAGCAGAACACCGTCTACTGAAGGAACCCCAGTCAAATGCATGCCTATGCCCTCACAGAAACCTCTAAACAAGGTTACCTAACCACTCCTGAGGCAAGACAGTCCACCTGTTCTGAAGGTGGAGCTACTCCTACTGTTTAAACATTGAGATCTACTTTAAAGTTTCAGATCCCTTATGGGCCTTGAGCTCTCCAGGGTTAAGGAAAGAGGTATTTCCCATTATGTGTTAGCAAATCCTTTTAAACTGGGGAGGGGCCAGGGATTGAACCTGGGAACTTATGGCTCCAAAGCATGCAGTAAATGCAGCTCTGGTTGATATTCTGATATGCTACCAGGCAGGCTGGTGGAAAATTGAAGCTTCTCTCCACCCTAGAGATGGGAAAACCCAAATCTTCAACTTCCTGCATCTTGGTTTGCTTGTAGCAGCAGCAGCAGCATTTCAATATTAAACACAGAAAAATCAATTACAGTACAAAAATAATTATACAAACAGAAAGCCCCATTACAATTGGCAACTGCACCAAAAAAATAGTGTCTCACTATGCCTGCTTGGAGGGTGGTAATTGTTAACTAAGGCTAATGTTCTATGCTCACATAATTCACCTATTTGTAAAGACTTTTGGCAAAGGTTTGCCATTTTCAGATTTGTTTGTTAAAGTTATGGAGTTCCACCAATCTGCTGAAAACGTCTTCTTCTTCTCCTGACCTCTCGCCATATGCAAACTCTGCACTGTTTTCTCAGTGAGAGCTAATTCTCAGACGTTTTAGCACATCTTGGTTTGTTACTGACCCCAATGAAGACACCAGTTAGCTCAAATCCAGCAGATTTGTCAACATCCAATTTCAGGAAAGGATGCACAACATACAGATACAACACTAAAACAAGAGCAAAGTGACCACAGCATTGGAATTTAAGAAACGGCTGTTACAGGCTGTTAACAAGCTTCAAAATGCTTGTTTAAATGACATTGTGAATAACAAACAACTGGTCAACCATGTGTTTAGTTCCTGAGCAAAGTGGCCTTTGCGATCTTCTCTTTGTTCTAAGGAGGTTCTTCCAAGAAATCAGCCTCAAGATAAAGATTCTTCAGTGGTTTCAAACATTCTCCATTTTTTACAACAAAAAGGCTCTTGAGAAGCAAGCAGGTCTTGCTCAGAGCAGCCATCTTAGCCTGCCATTTTTTGTTCCACCTATTGGCATATTAAAGTCAGCTGCCTTCAGCTGCTAGGTAAGAGCTGTACGCAGACCTAAGCTACCAGCCCCACCTTCAGCCAGCTGAAACTGAGCATCTGAAATTATCATTCTGTGTATTCCCTGCATTCAAAAGGGGACTCTCTGGTGTGCAATTACTGCAGCAGAATTGTATTCTGTTCATCTAGGATTCAACTGAGTCCGAGGGTTTATTTTCCATTAAAGGTGGGAAATTTAGACGATTGTGCGATCGCCAATTGCAATTACCGTTGGCAACTGTTTTTATCTCACATGCATTTGAACTTTTGAGAATATCAGACTATATACCCTCTTGCATTTTCGCGGGGGTGGGGAGTATTGTGCATATATCATTATGCAACTAGAAAGGTTTATCAAAAAAGAAATAGAGAAATTAAACATATTAAAAATGCAGACATTAAGACTGCTAAGAGAAATTAAGAAAGTTAATTAAAAAAATTCAACAAGCAGTAACAATAAATAAAAATTATTCTAAATTAAGTTTAACCTTGCAGTATTAAGTCCTGGTATTCATTATATGAATTGCTACAGCAGACCATGCTTAATTTAATTTTGTGGTAGACTTTTGATAAGTAGTGATTTTAAAAACAAGTGCAGGTATCTTCCCCCTTTGTGAGAGTGCTTTTGTTGTGGTTGCACCTTTCAGCATCTAGCAAAAATTACTGCTTCTGCCATAATGAAATACTGCCTAACACTGATTTTCTGAAATAACATTTTTGGGTTGATTGGTCATTGGACATTAAGCATTTCTTAAATACTAGTAGCTTTGGTATCTTGTACCTATTGCATGCACTGTGGTTTTTTATTTGTTTGTCTGTTGTTTTATTAAGACATTTCTATACTGTCCTTTCTCAAAAGGCCACAGGGTGCTTTACAACACAAAAACAACATGACAATACAAGAACGTTAAAGCAATTATTTCGTTAAAACTCCTAACAAAAGCAGCTGCAACAAAAGTATTCACAAATTGCTACTGTCCCTGTTCCCTCGATATTAAATTTATATCCCGCCCTTCCTCCCAAAGGAGCCCAGAGCAGCAACCAACAAGTGATAAAACAATAAAAATGTCTTTAAAACAATTCCAGTATAGATGCAGACGGGGAAAGATTTCCACTTAAAAGCCTTGTAGGAAAACAGAGGTCTTCAGTAGGCAATAGACAGGCAGCAGACAGCCGGTCTAATATTCACAGGGAGGGAATTCCAGTGGTCCAGTTCCAAGACACTAAAGGCCAATTGCTATATTGTGCAGAATGGACCTCCTGATAAAATGGCATCTACAGGCAGTGGCATAGCATAGATTGCTAGTGCCCGGGACAAGGAAAGTATGGCGCTCCTTAACCAGCACCTCCATGTGGCGCTGCCGCCACCACTGTGCGCAGCTGCAGAGCAGCCGCGGGACATGCATGTGCCCCTCCTTGGGCTGGGGTGCAGCCACCACCACTCCCTTCAGGCATTGACCTGAGCCAGACTTCCTTTGCTTCAACAAGGTGGCTGTATTGTGGGCATCAAAACCATGCCCTGGGAACTGATCGCATCTTACGCTCAGGTTTCTGCCACAAACAAGGAATATTACCTTGCTAGGACCCGGTTCCATAACACCTCGTTTCAAAACCATTAGTAGAGTGGAAGCACAGAATCCGACACAACATCAATTACGTTTTTTATTGAACACAAGGTGACCAGGGAGAGATGCCAAGGGGACAGATGTCATTCACAGGAGTCATCTACAATCACCCAGAGGATTTAAAAAAAAAAAATTAGAGGGAGAAGAAACCAGGAACCTCTCAACCTCCCACAGTGGTGGCAGCTGTGTCCAAAGGATGCGGATCCCCACTGCTCTTTCAGCCACTGCCAAAGAGGGCCCTCACTTCATCCTGAAACAGAGGGCGGTGTTGCAGTGAGACGTCCTCCCTCGCCAAAGAATAAAAGCCGCTTGCTTGCTGTGTCAACCAATTAAGTTTAGAGACGTGGGCAATAAATATTTAAAGAGGACCCCTTTCTTCCGGAGCCACAGGCTGTCTGAATCTACTTTCCGCTCCTCATGCTTTCCTGATAGAACCTCCCAGCGGCTGCAGGCGAGGTTTAAACAGTTGTGGAAGATCAATAGGATCGGAAGCCCAGCCCTGCCTTGTCCTGCTGTTTCTTATAAACTAGAGCAGCAAGATGAAGATGGTGGGGGGCAGGAGAAGCAGGGGAAACCCGTTAACCTTTTCTGCTAGATATTTTAAAAGTGTTTTATAGCCCCTTATTTTCTCTCTCTCCAAGATCTCTTGCTGGTCTTTTCCAAGAGCCTCATTCCAACAACTTTGCTGAAAGACCAGCTCCAAAAGGCACTCCCTACCACGGAACTGTTTCCATAGATCATTATAAGAAATACTATCTAAGAACTGGTGCCTGTGTTGGCTGCTGCTGCTTTTCCTCTTCCCTCCCTGTACCTTTGCCTTGTGTGTTGTGTATTTTAAATTGTAAGCCTGTAGGCAGGGACTGCCATGTTTTAATTGACTGCATATGTAAGCCACACTGGGAGCCGTTTGGACTGAAAAGCAGGGTACAAAGGCTCTATATAAATAAATGAGTCTCCATTTAGCACAAAGCCCATGTAATGATGGTAAGGTCTGAGCTGCTCCCAACATGGCACTGCGTATTGGCAATTCTTAACACAATGCAGTTGCTGCCTGCTCACAAGTACCTCTGCACCTTGAAGCAATGGCCTAATCTCACTCAGTTATTGCTCTCAATGGTATTTAACATAATAGCGTTGACCACGATGAGCTTATTTGAAATTATCGTGGAGATGGTTGGCACTTCAGTAGGATCTCCGCAGCAATTCGCCATTAATTACTGCACTGTTATTTTTAAGTGTTAGCCATAAACCAGGCTGCTGCTACATTTGCATTCAGAAGACACAAAAAAGAAAGAAAAAGATGTAGGGAGGTAAATGAGAAATAAATTAGAACAGAAGCTAAGTGCTGCTTCTAACTTTAATATTCCCCAATTAGTTTATGATCTGGAGGTAAAGCGTTTAACCTCGAGGTCACGATCCCCCCTCCCTCTCCTCCCCTCATCCCCTGCAAGGGCTATGAATATATTTTCTCTAATTTCTTACACTTTCATTTAAAAGGAAATACCAAGATGGGTAAAATATGGCCTCCGGGATCCATGAAGCTAGCTATTACCATTTCGCAGTCAGTGTAGAGAGTTTGGATGCCATGTCTTCCCAGGGCCATCCCAAAGACAGGAGTTAATAGCCCAATATTTATGTTGGGTTGAATGTGAGGAGAGATTTGGGGTGGCTCTCGGTCTTGTGCCCAGTTGTGCAGTGCCTCTCCAGATAAAGGGGAGATCCGGCATACAGACAGCCAAGGCATCTATCTACCTATTTCAGATACTGTTCTGTCCTCTCCTCCTTTCATCACTTGCCATGATGGAGGCTATGTTCTTCCTCTACAGAGGTAGCAACGCTTTTGAATACCAGTTGCTGAAAACCACAGGAGGGGAGAGGGCTATTTTGCTCGGGTCTTGCTTGAAGGTTTCCCCCAGTCATCTGGAGGGCCACTGCGAGAACATGAAGCTGGATTAGATTGGCCAGTGACCGGATGCAGCAGGCTCTTGCGTTTTTCCCATGGAATGAGCGTATAGGAGGTGAATATAAAATTGTCTAATAATGTCCAAGCTATACAAGGTAAATCAAAACCAGAAAATCCCTTATGCAGTTTGGTATCCTTTTTATTTTGTATATACCATGAGATCGGGCACTATGAAACACCCTCCAACAGAACTACAAAATGATCTAGATTATAATTTCACTTTCCCAGTAAGATGACGATTTCTGGTCTTCCTTTAAATTGGGATCTTCTGCTAACCTCTAAATTAGATTACCACAACAGAAACATCAGCTGGTGCAAAATTCAGTGGCCAGGTCGCTCACCGGAACAAGACGGTTTGAGCATATTACACCAATCCTGGCCTAACTGTGCTGGATGCCAATTAGCTTCCAGGCCCAATTCAAAGTGGTGGATTTTACCTATAAAGCCTTAAACGGCTCAGGACCACAATATCTCAAGGACTCTCTCTATCCATATGAACTGACCCAGACCCTCTGATTATCATCTGAGGTCCTCCTTCGTGTGCCTCCTCCATGTGAAGTCTGGAGGGTAGCAACACGAGAACAGGCCTTTTCTGTGGTGGCTCCCTGCTCGTAGAATGCTCTCCCCAGGGAGTCTTACCTGTTGCTTTCATTACATATATTTAGGCTTAAGGTGGATTGTTCTTTTTACAATTCATTAACTGCCCTTCAGCCTAAGGTCTCGGGACAGGTTATTACAACCAAAATGCAGCATTGATACCAAAACACGACATTACACAATATTAAAAACAGTTTAAATCAGCTTAAAATTACAGAAATAAAGGGGGGGAAACAAGAATGGGGGGCGGGGGAAACGAGTCATCAACACACCAGGAAAACTGAGATGTTTGCAATGCATATGAAAAGAAAAGGCAACAGAGAGAGAAGGCATAAAAAGGCATTTAAAACAATTAGACCGTTAAAGCACAGGTCACAGCAGTATCCTTACATGGGAGAGAGAGCAAGCCAAGTAGCTCTGAAGCAACTAACAGCCAGCTTTAGAGCAACTAGAGGCCCCCAGTGAACAACAAACTGGTCATTAACAACAGGTTTGGAGGAGGATTACAGTCTTAACAGCTATCATCAGAATAGGTGTACTGCTTAGAAGCTAAGCAGTTCCATATGGTTAATTTACAATTTCAGGACCAAACCTGGATAGCTTCTAAATAAGCAAGGCTCTGGAGGAAAAGGGAATCTGGAGCGGGGGCAGATTGTGTACAATTGTTCATTCTAACAAACATTCAAAACCAGACTCATGCCATGTGCCCTGCGACTTGCAGAAAGGGACCTGCATTTTACACGAACTCTTGGCGCACACAACTATGCCAGCTTCTGTATTGTGCTCATCCCACAATTCAAGTACTATCAACACAGGAGCCGGTTCCAGGGAGTTGTGGCTGTGCTCCCATAAGAACCTAAGAGCAGCCTGCTGGACCCATCTAGTCCAGCATCCTGTTCTCATTGTGGTCAACCAGATGCCTGTAGGAAACCCGTATGCAGGATCCGAGCACAAGAGCCCTCTCCTCTCCTGCAGTTTCCTGCAACTGGCATTCAGAAGCAATACTCTCTGAAGAGGAAGAGCATAGCACCCATCATGGTGGGTAGCCATGAATTTGTCCAACTCTCTTTTGAAGTCATCCAGATTGAGGGTCGTCGCTGCCCCCACCCCGGTGTGGGAGTGGAGTTCATTGTTTTATCTATGCACCGTGTGAAGAGGTACTTCCTTTTATTTGTCCTGAATCTTCCAGCAGTCAAACTTCATTGGATGTCCAAGAGAGGAAGGAGAGAGGAAGAAAATCTCCAGCAGGAGGGCAGGGTGCTCTGATGCTCAGGTCCTGCTTGCTGGCTTCCCATAAGCATCTGGTCAGCGACTGTGAGAACAGGAAGCTGGACTAGATGGGCCATTGGCGTGACGCACCTGGGCTCTCCTTACGTTTTTTAAAACATGTGTTTGGGCCTCTGGGTGCCTGTCTGCTGTATCCCACTTTAAAGGAATTGAAACCTGAAGCTTGGCTGGAGGGGTGAGCCCACAAAGGAGAGTCCTAAGACTCCCAGCAATGGGTGGGAAGGCATGGGGCAAGCCATTCATCAGCTGTCCACCTTAGTAGGTAAGGCCCATGTGGCTGCGGCATTTAGGATACCTCCCCGCAACGGCACAAGCAGCGGCGCAGGGAATGGACAGCTCCAATGCGGCTTGCGATTATAAAGGTTCCTGGAACCACACTGAATCCCCCTATTATTGCCATAAAGGACTGCAAATGGCACTGTGGCTCAAACATGACCTTCAGTTCTTGCACATTAGCCACTGGGGCAGGCAAGGCAAGGGCTGGGGTTAGACCAGGTTCTTCCCTTGGGGAGGGGGGTGCAGTGCTCAGGTGTGCTCCATGGGGGTGTGAGGGGGTCAAGGCAAAGCCTCTCTCTTTCTCCTTCCCTCCTGCCCTATTATAGCATGGCTGGCCTTTAAGCTAGTTCTTAATTAAAACAAAATCTTGGAAGGAAAAAAAGGGGGGGGACACACGGGCAGACGGGGAAATCTTCAGAAATAATTGGATCACACAGCAACACTTTATTAAGTTCTTAGCCTAATCCTGTAAATTTAATGATCAACATTTAAGTTGGAATAATTCATCCGCTTTACGCACACACACACATATATCAACTCATAATTGTGCAGTTACAGGTTCCAGCTAGTGGGATTGCACTTCAAAAAGGACTTTAGCAGCTCATTGACATCACCGAGGCAATTTTAAAAATGAGCTTAATGCTTCATTTTTTGTACAGACCTCTAATAGCTGAGGCATAGTTCCCCCTCCCCATTCCTGAATACCATTTTTTATATATATAAAAAATGTAAGCACACTCCACCCAGAAAGGTTTTGTTTTTAAACTAACAGCAATTAGAACTATCTGACTTGAGAAGAGTCTCTTGCTTGTGTCTCTGCCTGAGTTACTGTCCTGGGCCCAGCCACTTGTAAGCACACGTAATCCTGCAGAGCCTCTGCCTCAAAAAGGATTGAATGATTGAATTCAATTTTATATCTCAATTCCATTCTTCAGCCCCATGGAGAATTATTAGGAGGAGGCACAGCCAGAGTAATAGATCGCACAGAGGCACCACAGACAGAAATAAAGGGAGGTCAGGGGGAAAGAAATACAAAGGGGCAAGAAAAGAGGGGAAACGGATAGGGGGTGCAGAAAGATCTATGGGGTGGGAGGAAAGATGGCAACAAAGATGAGGTGCATAAAGATTTGCGGCTGTGCGGGAAAACAGCTGTTAGGAAAACAAAAACAGGGAACTGCTATATTTCAGGGCAGATGACTTGTCCATCTAACTCTGCAGTGTCTACTCTGACAGGGACACTCCAGGGTTCTCAGGCCAAAAAAAAAATCTATTTCCTGTCATCTGTTATC